GAGAATCGCTTTGAAATATTCTCTGGAAAATAATGAGCAGAGAACATTTACTGATTAGTTTAATCCCATATAATCCCATCTGATGACACCATGAAACCCAGTCTTGTAATCTGGCCTTTAAAATAATGTTTTTTTCCCCCTCCACTCAATTCACTGCAAGTACTCTTTTGAGGGAAATTGGATTTTTTTCCTGAGTATTTTAAGGGAGTTATTTCCATCAAATTAAAGAGGGTGTTGTGTTTATCTAATTTTCCTAAATTTACCCCATGTTAACCCTTTAAAGATTCTGCTATATGGGTTCAGAAACTGCTGAAACAAATTGAATACCAATCCTGGTAGCCTACTAATGCCAGTGTTCAGTATGGGTCTGGGTTTACAGGCCTGCATAGAGTGTTATTGTCCTTATTGTCTTTATTTTCGATACAGTAAGCCTAATAATTGTTACTGCATGCCCACTAGCCTAATGCATTGACTCGTTGAGGCCATTGATGATGATAATGGTGATGGTTTATTCAATTCATATTTAATCTTATGGGATGAGAATAAATCATTTTATGTTACTTACCTCTTAATTGACATTGAAAAAGCTTATCTGATGTTAACTGTGGATCAGCCTGAATAATTTTTTCCTATTTTCTATCATTTTAAATTCGGATAATTCGATGTTAGGATGGCCCAATTCTTATCTCCAATAACTGAATTCGCAGCCTATCATGTTAAAATCCCACGATTTTCCGACTATAAATTAACTATTAGCTATTTACAACCATTTTGATCTAAGGCTGTGTGAAAAACACATACATTTCACATCACATGCTCTTTGATGGATACATTTCACATCACATGCTCTTTGATGGATACGTGCCCTAAAAGCAGATTTCACACAGCTCTGTATTCAAGTGATAGATTAAACAAATGTAATGCATTTGGTTTAATTATCTTGGTTAAGAAGATTTCTCTAATTGCTTTTTAAATCAGAGACCGACTCCATACACTTTCACCTCCTTAAATGAAAAGTCATTGGGCAGACGAGGAAGTTCTTTTTTTATACCTGCAGCAACACACCCCCTCCACTCAATTCGATGGGATTAGCATAATTGGTCCTAATTTCCCGAATTACTTTTGCACATAAGGAGTTTCATTATCTCCAGAGACCTCAGAATTAACTTTAACTGCAGAAATAAAATGATTCTGCTGTCCATGTAAAAACAATCTTATCCTAATATCTATTCAAAGTGGAAATGAACGGTCAGATTACAAACTTTATTTACAACAGCAGATTTTCTCTAAGTATGGTTTTCTCAGGCCTCAGTGAAAGTGTACTAAGAGGCCCACCGGCCACAGATGTCAGTTCAATGTCTAGTTTGGATCTACATTTGGTTGAGTTGTCAACTAACGTGAATTCAACGTGAAATCAACAAAACATGTCACCATGTCATTGGATTTAGGTTAAAAGATGGGTGAAAAATAGACGAAATTTCCCCTTACATTGATTACTTCAGAAGATGGGTTATTCTTGAATTGTGGTGGCATTTTCCATTCCTTTCCTTTGCAAACATGAAAAACACTTTGAAATTACAAATAGTTACACATCATACAGATGTAGGATCTTCATTTTAGCCAGTTCGATACAGCAGGAAAATAATCCTGCAGCAACAGGAAATATGAATTATTATGTGGATTATAATTAATGGACATTTTTGTAGGGGTTGCTAGATTTTTCGTAAGGAACATCTAGTCAAAAATGTCTAAGTGGAAATTACAAACTTCAGAAGCCTTTTTAATACTCTACAAGTTTTATATTTCCTGCATTCTTAGGGAAATCGAATTGGCTCGTCCCAGTGATGTATAAAGTTGTAGTGACATATTTTGGGTTTTAGAGATGTCTATCTATTATTTTGAATGCTAGAAAGTGAAAAAAAAGTATTAAATATATTGCATGGATCAATAAAAGCAAAGAAGGCTATTAAAATACAATTTTTTGGTGTGTCTTAATCCAAAGTGTCACTTGGTGTTACTCACTTTATATGTAGGGAAATAACATTATGAGCAAAATTATTAATCATATAACTTTAGTAAATTATTTTTGCTTGGTTCTAAGGTTAATGACCTTAGAAAATACTCAATAACCAAAAATGTTCTTTTTTTGCTGGGGTGTGGGAAGAGTCTGACTTTCAGGAAATGTCAGTAAAAGAGAAAAACAATTCATTTAGCCTACCAATCTCCAAAAACCTATTTAGACCCAGTCACGATCTCTTCAAAGTAAGTTACTACATATAGTCCAGTTTGTAACATTCTCTATGTAATGGGCTTTTAAATTACATTACATGTAGTGAGCTTTGAAATTATGGATTGATGCCCATTTGAATGTGGTTCAAATTCATGATATTTTGATAACGTTATGGAGTACCAAACCTGCCATAATTATAAATAAATGAATAAATAAATGTACACATACAGTAAAAAGATAAATACATTAATAAATACATAAATGCACATATAAATAAATAAATGCACACATAAATAGATAAATAAATAAATGGATGAATAAAAGCACACATAAATAGATACATACTGTAATTATTTAAATAATTAATCCCACTTTCATTCATTTTATTAATTTATATTATCTCTTCATTTATTTATTTAAGTAAACGTATGTGGGTGGTCTCTAACATCATTGGTTGATCAATGTCATGGTGCACTGCTCAATTGAACAACCTTGAAAAATGGTGTGATTATGGTGGCCCAGAGGGAAATTATCTATGGTGTGCTGTACCATGACTCTTTGTTATCACCTGAACTCTTGTGAAGTCGTCGGGCAACTTCCTCCAAATTGTTAAGAACTAACGGGTTCACCTCTGTGTCTGTTGTAGCAGCTAGCTGACCCAAGTTTTCAATGCCTCCACACAAAAAAGCAGGTAATCTGAAGAGGCATTGTTTTCAGCAGTGTTAGCCAGCACTGCCATGTCTCTGGCTACCGCTCGCCTGATTGCAGCCATACTACCAGCCAGAAGAACTTGGCTACTGTAGCTAGCTACCGGTTGTAAATCTCTCAAGTGTGTGTAGTTTGATTGTTTAATTTTTGGATCATCAGAGCCAGGCAAAAGCAATCGAGTAACAAGCCGTGACATTGATCAACCAATGGTGTGTTAGATCCCACCCACAGACGTCAAAAAAATTTACAGCGATAAACATGTCACGCGTTAACACGTTATTAACGGGTTAACTTTGACAAACCTAATAAATATATAAATGAATACAATTAATGAAAGTGGGAATAATTACATAATAGATAGATAAATAATTGAATGCATACAGATATGTAGAGAAACATTTATGAATTTAGGTCAGTATTTTTTATTTCCTTGCTCATTTATTTGTGGATTTATTTATGTATTTATGTATCTATTTATGTGTTCATTTATTTCGAATTATGGTAGGTTTGGTCCTCCATAGACGGTAGGGTAGTATGATAAACAAAATAAAATTTACATAAAGTTTTTGACATTTTTAAGTGCTAATATTAATTACATTTTAGTAGACGCTTGAGTGACTTACAGTTATTTTTATTTTTTTATTTTTTTTGTACTGGCCCCACATGGGAATCGAACCCACAACCCTGGCGTTGCAAGCGCCATGCTCTACCAACTGAGCTACACGGGACTATTAATGGACAGAAATAGATGCAAAAATGTCATTTCAGCCTCAAGTCATTAAGCTGCCATATCAGTTGATTTAGAATGGGAAGATGTACCCAAATACATTTAAATAAATAAAAATATAGAAAAAATAAGTATTTATTTCCAAAATGTCCTGCCCAAATATCACCTCAATTTAAGAACAATGCAAATGCAATGCAAATGTCCATATGCAATGCAAATGTGCTACGTTATATTTTCTACAAAGGGTAGCCTGTTGTAGGTCAATTTTGTGAGTGGAATGCTGTTAAGCTTCCATTTGTTATCACTTGATTTCACATCTTCAGGTAGGCTAGGTAGGCCTACTTGGTGATATTTGTTATCGACACAAACTTTTTTGGTTATTTAAAGCTGAGTAAATGAAAACAGAGACAAATTACCCTCTAATTCGAAGACCAATTACCCAAATAAAAGTTAGGCCAGAGAACATCTTGTCAGGGAGATTTAGACCTTTCTTTAATATGAAATGTAGCTAAATGTAGCAAAATATTTATATAATGTAAAACATAAAAAAGTATTGAGATGTTGCATTGACAGAAACAAATAACGTTATTTTTTTCCAAATGTGTCAACTGACATCGCCAGGCCACCTTTCCAGGCTATTTAGCTTAAATGTTATTTATTCTGCAGGTTGCATCATTAGCTTGCTGTAGCCTAGTATACAATTATTTGCCAAAATGAATTTAACATTACATTAATTAAATCCCAGAGAGTGATTAGAATAAACCTATTTTCAAATGTTAATATTTTTTTGTATTTTAAACCTATTTCCAGTTGGCTATATATTACGCTAGACTAGTCCTAGTCAAAAGGCTATTCTCACATTTTTACTGCACGGGCAAACAGCGATTTTCGTTAGGTAGTATGTTTTCTCATTTACAAATTAATTTAAATATATATATTCGTATATGTAAGCATCACTGAGCAATGACCATAGCACAACAACAGCATATTGAGATAAAACGAAGGTTGATCATTGTAAAATATGTATAAAACATATTTTTTAAAATAAAGTGTATTTTTACAGATGTAAAGCATGCACTATTGTTTAGCTGGAGACCTACATAAATGATATTTGCCATCAGAGAAAAACACTTAGGACCAGTTCAGATAGAGGGGACAGAGGAGAAAATCCTTATCGGATTTGAGGGAAAATTGGTGGCAATTAATCCTTTAGGATTGAAAAAGGGAAACGCCTCCTTTCGGTTCGACGGGTCCCGTTTGCTCTGATTGGTCACTGGAGGTTATCCGGGATACAACACAGGGATAAATTGTCCTCCCATATGCCTCCCGCCTCATCACCCGAGCTGCAGGGAAAATAGAAGTATAGCGCTTTACAATGACAACCATGACAGGAAGAGAGGATGGCGCTGAGGAGAAGCCCAAAGTCAAGATGCTGGCTCCAGCATTTGGGATCGATAAATCACGACTTCATGGATCTGGGTTTAGGTCTAAAGGCTTTGCCATCACGGACCTACTGGGTCTTGATACGGATCTCCAGCCTCGCCCATCCGGACTTTATGGAGTAGGAGGACACGGGGATGTTCAGAGCGCTGGGATGGGATTCCCTTTCGCTGGAGGATCCTTGCCGCTTGGTCTGGGTTTCCTGTGCAGTTTGGCGGCTCAGCAACCTCCGGGGGCCCCCTGCTTCCTACCGAGTCACATACCCCTCCTTCAGTCCAGGGCAGAGAGCCATTTCATGCAGAATTTGGAGCAACAAAGAGACGCCTACTCTGGTACAGCTCATTTCAAATGGTTGACTTTACAGTTAGGACTTTAGGGGAGCTGTCCACTTAGCAAGTATTCTCGGGGGGTGCTGAAACCTCATGTAGCTCAATTTATTTAAAATATTCAATGCATTCAAGATTGATGTAGCCTAATTTTATCTCTCAAAATTAAGATGTTGATTGAATGTTAAACCTATCCAAATGAACTTATCCCATGTTAGTCTCGCGCTAAATTTGATTAGTCTATATTCCATTTATAAGCTCTCGATTTATTTCGTTTTTCAGCACAATTATAATTTAACATGTATATTTTGGATTTTGGTTTGATTGTTTTGTCTCTAATAGACTATATGTTTCCTTTTCTTTTCAGATGAAGAATGTCTCTCTGGTGAACGAAACGATTCGAAAAACTCCGGAAACTCCCAGAAGAGAAAGAAAAGGAGGCACAGGTTGGTATGACGCAGTTTTATTGCACCCGAGCAAAAAGAGACATTGAGTAGGCTATTACATTAAATAAGTACAATGAGTGCCTTTAGGACGCCTGTTTTATCAATGCTTTCAATAAAATAAAATGAATCCATTACAGAACTGTGTTCACGTCTCATCAACTGGAGGAACTCGAAAAGGCATTCCATGAAGCACATTACCCAGACGTGTATGCCAGGGAAATGTTAGCAATGAAGACAGAATTGCCTGAGGACAGAATACAGGTATGCTATTTATAACAACATGTAGGCTACTACAAGGCTAACACGGGCATGTAAACCTACAATGGCCTTATATAGTTTAATCTGCAAAATTGTCCAAAGATCTAACATTTTGTGCCTATTTTTCAGGTATGGTTTCAGAATCGTCGGGCCAAGTGGAGGAAACGTGAGAAGTGCTGGGGACGCAGCAGTGTTATGGCAGAGTATGGGCTCTACGGTGCCATGGTCCGCCACTCCATCCCTCTGCCAGAATCAATCATCAACTCCGCCAAAAGCGGGATGATGGGCTCCTGTGCTCCCTGGCTTCTAGGTGAGCCAGCAGGTTGTTTGCTTTATTAATAATATAAGACTCAAATATGTATTTAATCACTTGAATACATAGCTGAGATGTGTTTTGTATCCGTACAATGTTTGATAGACATTCAGCCAACATATTTCATAACATAGACATAATAACGATGAAGGTCTAAGTGTTAGGCCTACATTTTCGTTTACCAATAGTCCTATAGGCCTAATGTCGATTTATTTTTGCATTATTTTGCTATAGGCTGCGCCGAGACTGATTGTTTTTTATCACTTTACGCAGGAATGCACAAGAAGTCCATGGAGATAGTAAAGAAATCCCCAGGAACGCCAGAGTCTACCCACTCGGATACTTACTCCGAGGAAACTAAAGGGAAAGACAGCGACATGTCCTGGCCAAACCGCTCTCGTGTTATAGACACTGAGGACATGGCAATAGACCTTTCCAGCACCTCTAAGCAGGACAGCAGCAAGAGCACTTTGAAATCATCGTCGCCCCATAGGGATCCCATTCGCAACAGTGATTCAGACGATGAAAGCTAAATATATGCCAATACCCGTTGCAGACAGTGAGCTTAGACATTTGCGTGGAAATTATGCTCACCTCGAAGACAATTATTTTCCAAAGATGCGCAACGTTCCCATCGGGTGTACAGTGTACTTGTCTTATTTCTTAATAATTGTATTTGAACATATGTTTTATAAAGTTGTTTGGTTTTAAATATAAGATCATATTTAATGTTTTATTCCGTGATATAGGCAACTTTTGTTTTAGTTTGTGTGTTGTTGAAATAATGTTTTAAAAATGAAGAGAGAGGACCACGGAGAAGACACATAACCTCTTCTCCTGCAGGAACGTGTTACACGATAAATCAAAATGTAAATTTCTCTAAAAACAATTAGTGAACATTTACAAACCTTAGGCCTGCATCTTATTTCATATTTTTGAGAGGTGATGGTTAGGGTGTAAGCCCCACCACCTGGATTTGGTATAAAACATAAACTAAAATACACAGATCATTATCAAATGGCACAATTATGAAGCACTTTAGTTGTGTTGATACTGAATGTCATTCAGAGGTCAATTTCACTGTAATGAAAGCAATAATAACAGCACTGTAATAACAGCAATATCAGGAAAACAGTATCTGGATAAATAAATAAAAATATTTATTTGAAATTGTGTATTTTTATTGATTTGAACGTTATTGGTTCCACAAATCTGTCTTAATTGTAGTATTTACATGGGTTAAAAAGGCAGAAGTTGATGCAGTAAGTAATTCTGGGCCTCGTTTCTCAGTTGCGATGTAAATGAAGCATTACGATGATCGTACCAAATGCATCTTTATTTACAAGCCAATGTTCTAAATATTTCCCAAACAAGCACTAAGTGCGTCAGACCATGTGTCCATACAGGATCGAAAGGAAAGCAGCGCTGATCAGCTTTCTCCATTCAAATCTTACCTTAACATTAGAATTATTCCAAAATACTGACCACGGATCAGCTCCTAGAGAAATATGACCACCTATGGCTCCAAATAGGCTATTGATTCATCTTATTCTTACCCAATAATAATGCACTAAATCACAGATTGGGCACATCATTGCGCACATGTTGTCACACATCATTAAACACATTGAGACACAAATTACAGACAGTAGCCTAGTTGCAAAATAGAACTCAATTGATTGAACATGAAATGTATTTAAATATGATTGAAATAGCCTATATAGGCCCATGTAGCCTATGTAGGCCTATCTTTTAATGCCGTCATCTCGGTTTTTATTTGAAGCATAATTTCATCCTTCACTTGTTTATAACAATTGCAAATAGGCTACTTTGGCAACTTTGTATTTAGTCAACTTATTTCTGACGTTATCGGCAGTCACAGACATAAAGATAGCCTGAACATCTTGATTCTACAATATATAGAACCTTTAATATCCAAAGAACCAAAAGTTTCTATATAGAACCCCAAATAACCATATGTTCTAAGAGTGGGTCCATTACACTCACCACTAATATCACACAGTTCTACGTTTGATTTGATTTAGTCACAAAACAGGCAGACCTGTCGCCAGACCTCAGTCTTAAGGGGGGCATATGAATGCATGGGAGGGCAGGGCAAAATTATTATTAGCCTACAGTACATATATTTAATAATAAATTCCCTCAAGTGGGGGGGGCATAAGCATTTTTGGGGGCGGGGGGCGGGGGGCGGGCCCACCCGGGCCCACCCATAGCGACGGGTGTGAAAACAGGTATAATCAAAATACAATGTTTTGCTAATGTTGAAAATGTGTTTGTTTTTAAATAGCTCAAATAGAAGAATTGAAGATTCCAAAAACAAAATAGCACCCTGAATGAAGATTGAAAGGCACTTATGAGATTTCCTGTACATACTCTTAAAACATATTTTTAAAAGCACACATAAGATGGTGAAATACACTTAAAGTCACTAACATTTTGGTTCTCTCACCGTCTTATTCTCCCTAAGCATTTTAGGCTACAGTAAATATTTAACATCAATCACATTACATAAAGAAATACAAATTAGCTCAAGATACAGGTATCAAAAGACAATATTTTGCAAAAGTTGTAGGCTGTTTTTAAATACAATAAAACTATAAAAAAGATTCCTAAAACAAAATAGCACCCTGACCAATTTTGAAGATTGAAATGCACATCTATGAAATTTCCTGTACACACATCAAAAACAGGTAACCTTTTTACAAGCATACATAAGATGGCTAAACACAGTTAAAGTCCACCACAAAACATATCCAGTGGATAACAGTATATGTGAACACTTATACCTGTAATAAGATGTGCCATCTTTTACCAGCTATTGCATTCTCAGATTAGTGTGTCACACTTCAACCTGGTTTTTCAGGGGGTGCTGCAGCACCCTCAGCACCCATACTTCCCGCGGCTAAGCCTGCTTCCATCCATTCCCACCCCATCCCTCTGTGGTCCTCCTCTCTCTCCCAGGGGCATCACATCAAGTTCTCGCTCACCGACTCCTGGAAGCCCCCCCTCCACCTGTCTCCTATTGTTCACACAGAACAGTGCACGCTTCAACTCTTGGTTAGGAATCATATAAACAATTGGGTTGATGAACGGTGGCACCATGTGCAGCACCATTATTGTGACATGCTGGATACTTCCTCTCTGAGACAAGTGATAGGACATAGTTTGCTCTTGTTGTAGTATACAGGTTGCAGAGTCCTAGATTATTGGCACCAGCTGAAGTAAAAACATGCAGAGATAGAAGGCTACAGTTCTACAAGCATGGCGGTTGTTCAGTTTAAGGGCCATAACTGCCCTGTGTACCTCATTGTATATTGTATATGTCCATAAAAGGAGCAGAAGATGATGATTGAAAGAATTATGATGGTAATGGGAGGGTCATGAAGCTGTAGAGGTCCGAGGCAACTTCCGAGCCCCCATGAAGACGTCCCAGGGCAGGCTGTGCTGACTTCTGGCAATGAGCATGGCAGAACGGGCTCCAGCCCATGATGGCACCAGTAGACCAGTCAATAAAGGGGTTGTGTCGCTGGAGCCAAGAGAAACCCAATACCACGGGAACCTGAGGAGACATAATTAGCAGGAATTGTATTGTCTCGCTGTGGTTCCCTGATACTCGTAGGTTGATGGGGATGGTATTGTGGGTGACCCGGCCCATAGAGCACCCGTACAGTGCTCTAACATCCATGGGAATGGAGTGAGGCTGGGTGGGGATGCCCAGCTCGGACGCCAGGGTAGCGTCCATAAAGCTCTCATCGGCCCCAGAGTCGATGAGTACCCGGAGCAAGATGGCATGAAAGGGGGTGCGAGTAAGGGGAGAGGATAAGTTATCTGTATGGCCCACCAGAGTACTCGGTCCTACCAGTGAGCCTGGTCTTTTAGTGGACAGGTGGACACAAAATGACCAGTAGTCCCCGCAATACAGGCAACTCTTCGTGTGAAGCTTGTATTGCCGTTCGGCAGGAGACAGCCTAGCTCTGCCTAGTTGCATCGGCTCGGGAAGAGGTGAATCGGCAGACTTCGGAGACTCTCGGGTAGTCTCGGGTTCTCTCTGCAACGGAGCCGTCGGTGACTTCCGGGATGCCTCGGAGGCGAGGTGGAATCCTTCCTCTCCTTCCTTCGTTTCCATAGTCGCCCATCGATCTGAATGGTCAAGGCGATGAGCGAGTCGAGATCCGATTTCCTTTACTTCCTCCGATACTCCATGCAGGAATGTGTCGAACAGCGCTTCCGGGTTCCAAACACACTCAGCTGCCAACGTGCGGAAATCCACTGCATAGTCTGCCACACTGCGGGATTCCTGCCGAATCTGGAGTAACTTCCGGTCAGCCTCTCTCCCGGACAATGGAGCATCAAAAGCCTTCTTTACCTCCTGCATGAACTCCTCCAGACTGACACATACGGCCGACTGTTGTTCCCACACTGTCATAGCCCAAGTGAGAGCCCTCCCGGACATCTGCATGATGAGGTAAGCTATCTTAGAGCGGTCCGAGGGGAAGGAGGAAGGCCGCAGCTTGATGATGAGCGAACACTGAGCGAGAAATGTCCGACAGGTTCCCGACTCTCCAGCGAAGCGTTCCGGGGGAGGTAAGCGGGGTTCTCAGGAAACCGGGGTGGCCGCGCTGCTAACAGCCGGGTTACTGAGGGGCTGGGAGGTCACTGTCATGGTAGGCTGCCTAACAGACAACCCGCGGAATTGCTCCAGCAATGTGTTAAACGCTCGGTCATGGCGTTCGACCAAGGTCTGGAACCCTTCCATGAGACCGTGAAGCAACTCCTCGTGCCTTCCAATTGTGGCTCCTTGGGAGTAGATGGCGTTGCGGAGCTGGTCCGAGTCTGCTGGGTCAGTCATGGCCAGTTCGTACTATTACATTTTAGTCATTTAGCAGACGCTCTTATCCAGAGCGACTTACAATTAGTGAGTACATACATTTTCATACTGGCCCCCCGTGGGAATCGAACCCACAACCCTGGCATTGCAAGCGCCATGCTCTACCAACTGAGCTACATGGAGCCTCAGGACAGGATATAGCTGGGCGCACATGCACACTGGGCTAATTCAGGACACAGATTGTAGTTTTTATGCCCTAATATCAGGAGCTGGCGGCGAAAAGTTTGATTAAACAATTCAGAGACTGAAACGAATACACCAGATGACAAATAGTTAAGGAAAGCAAATCAATATAGTAAAACAAAGCTTAAAACAATGTTTGAGTGAACCTGAATACAGAAAATGAATGGTGAAGTCGCTTCCGGACATTGTAGACTCCTCGTCCTCACCACTCTAAGTGCAATGAATGATACTGTTACACCGCCTGCTTTGAGTGATCACTCATCACAGGAGGCTGCTGAGGGGAGGATGGCTCATAATAATGGCTGGAACGGAGCGAATGGAATGGCATCAAACACATGGAAACCATGTGTTTGATCTATGTATTTGATACCATTCCACTCCAACCATTACCACAAGCCCATCCTCCCCACACTCTTAGAAAAAAGTGTTTCAAAGGGGTTCTTTGGCTGTCCCCATAACATAACTCTTTTGGGTTCCATGTAGATCCATCTGTGTAAAGTGTTGTGCATGGAACTCAAATGGGTTCTACCTGGAACCAAAAGGTTTCTACCTGGAACCAAA